AAGATACATGACACAAATTGGACAATTTTACAGGATACCTTTTGTAGTTGTGTAAGATTTAATGCTTTCCATTGTGATAACTGATGCCCCCAGTGGCACAACGGTATGTCTGCGGACTTACAAGGCTATAAACCGGGTTTCGATACCTGTGGTGGGCAGAGCACAGATAGCCCATTGTGTAGCTCTGTGCTTAACTTCAAACAAACTGATAACTTATTATGTACAAGATACGTTTGGTTTCGATAATTCCTCAACGTTTCCACAAAAACGTGTTTGCATAATTTGAGCCTGGAAATATTTAAAATATTAACAAGTTTGACAACTTTATATGAAATATTAATAGAAATGCATTTTGCAAATGTGCTGACTATTCTTTTATTTAAAAACTACGGAACAAGTAACTCTTACTGAATTTGGTAAATAGTGAATCCACGAAAAACTTTTATATTGCTTAATTCAAGATTGCTGTTAAAAATTAATTAGTCTATTAACTTTCCGAGTTTTTGTTTCTTCAGTGCAGAGATATTGTCATAACATTTTCATACTTTTCTATAAGTGGATTATATAGATAGTTATATAGATGCATATTAAAAATCAAATTTCTCTTTTTTTAAAGATTTAAATTACTAAAAAAGGCGTTACATTTGAATGTAATGAAATTAACTTACACGGGGTAGCGATTCGCTTCTTTATCATCAATATCAATGTGTTGTGCCACTGAAAACCCAAAATATGAACCGCTGTCACTTTCTTTTATCAAAGGTAAACGTGTTTCCAAGTTAAAGCCATTCACCGTTAAATGTATCGATATTAAATAAAAAAACAAAGTCCAGCACCAACATTTCGTTTCCATTTCAGTTATAAATCACACAACAAACGGGCACCTCAGCAGACCCGCAAAATCTACACTCCTTCACTAATGATATACAACCAGAAGCACTGGGTCGCAAAAGTTTGATGTTCGCTCATGTTTACGTTGCTTATCAGCTAGCAGCTTTCTGTGATGCAAGCGCCCTCACCAAATAGATAGACCTTGATGTTCAAGCCGTAGGTTTAAGATTGAAACTGAAAGTGAAAGAGTAAGACTAAAATTTAAGTTGTAATATTGCATACCAAAAACGTATTTTTTTAATATGGTTATATATATATATAAGTCTGGTAATTTTAATGTTTCATAAGCAAAAAGGAAAGAGAATCTACGTGTAAAGTTGGAATTAACTGAAATGCAACATTAAGCTTACACATACAAATTATACATGTAACAATCACTTCATAACTAATCTAGATATTATGGTAATTAATAAGTTAGATTTGATGCTCAGCTTAACTTTAACCCCATATATTATAAAGAGGCGTTGGTATTTCAACAAACTAGTATTACTAACATTACTTCTATTTAATATATCTTTGTGAAGATTTTGCCCTGCCTGCTAAATTCCTATGTATCAACTTAGAAGCGTGATTTCATTACCAACGCTCGCTGCTTAAATTTAAAGCTCGAGATCATTCAATGTCAACATGCCCATACGAGTCAAAGAGAAGAGTTATATAACGTATAAGCAAAAACTGTATTTTACTACATTATAAACAGATGAGGTTAATAGAATGAATTTGTTTAAGTAAAATAAACTGCCACATGTGTCATGCACGAAACAAATCGAAAGTATTAAAATGAGTAGTAATAAAAAATATTAAACAACAGGAGGTACTGAGGTGAGGGAAATGCAAAGGATCTTTTTCCGTCTTTTCCAGAGCAGAAAAAATGGGAGTTAAAGATTGACAAATATAGTCTTTCTATCATTTTACAAACCCTAAAATAACTAATAATTGTTCTATACAATAAGCATTAGAAAAATTGGAACGAAATATTCCATATTATTATTATTATTTTAAAAAATATCTAATTAATATACATATTATTAAGAAATTACATATACCATTACAACTAGGCGTATAAATAATTAAGCTCTTTTTTTCTGCTCTTGGAGTTTTCTCACCTTGAGCATCTGCCCACGTTGAGATACAATTAGTTATGCAAACAGAATTATATATAAATTATAACTGACATATAAGTAAAAGATAATAGTTTGACTTTGTAATTTATTCTTTCTTATGTCAATAATTTAAATTTTAAACTTCACAAAAAATTACATATTTGTAAAACCGAAGTTTCAAATGGGACCCTTAGTAAAGAAAAATATAAATAATGGTGATTGCATGTTTGTATAAATGATAAAAGCTCTAATTTCTTGTGTCAAACACTTTAGTTAAGGTTCATTACTTGAGGTTCATTACCTTTCCTCTGAAGACATTAATTAGCATCTTTGATAAAGTTTAGGAAAAGAAAGAAGCGATATGTATTACACTAGTGGAAAATCTTTAAGAACCAACAGATGACACAAGTACACAGTGATCAACTTTTTGACTTATAAATTAAACATCCAGTTTTTCCAGATTATGAGAGTTAAATAAAACTTGACATTCATAGACTTGTTTAACAGAACTTTAAGTGAGTTTAAGCTATCATCACAAACTGTAGAATTAGTAACTTACACAGAGTAACTGTATCAAATTCGTATAAATTTATGATGTTAAAACTACTGAACTGCAGTAAAAGAATTTTGTGATATTAGATTATTCAAATAGTTTAATACATTTATGAACATAATTCATATGTTCTTGTAATTTGTTTTTTAATTATTCAGGTGGATAAATTATTAAACAAAAATAGAGAAGATTATCACACATATAGATTTCAAACCTTACATGTTAGCCCGGCATGGCCGGGTGGGTAGGGCACTCGACTCGCAATCTGCGGGTCGCGGGTTCGAATCCCCGTCACACCAAACATGCTCGCCCTTTCAGACGTGGGAGCGTTATAATGTGACGGTCAATCCCACTATTCGTTGGTAAAAGAGTAGCCCAAGAGTTGGCGGTGGGTGGTGATGACTAGCTGCCTTCCCTCTAGTCTTACACTGCTAAATTAGGGACGGCTAGCGCAGATAGCCCTAGTGTAGCTTTGCGCGAAATTCAAAAACAAACAAACCTTACATGTTAAGTATAATCAAGAACTGACATAAATTAAACCACTTTAAGTATTAATTAGATGTAATGTTTTGTCTTAAATGAAAGTATTTTCTCTGTAATAATGTTTCTCAATTTGTGGTTCATGTGCTCTATGGAAAAGTTGCATAATTATGAAAAGAAAATGTTGGCATAATGTACAGATCTCATTGTGATCTGCCAAGATAGAAAACAAAAAATATTAGGTGGTCTCCAAACAAAAGAGTTTGAGGACTACTGTTCCTTAAGAATGATCTAGTTAATTTTTTTTTCATAGCATACATATATCTTACCACTATTGATTCATTACATATGACTTTTTTGTTGTTGCTGTGAAGATAAAATATTACTATGAAAGTTTTAACTAACAACTAACATGTTTCTGAAAGTGTGTGTAACATAATCCTGTCCAAGTATGGTAAAACTCACCCTATGTTTATTGTGTAACACAAGTTTTATTTGTTTATATTACTATGTCTACAACTTTCACTATTGCTACCATAAATTATTTTTGACACACACTGATCAGTTATGTTTTATTAGAAACCTCAAGATGCTGAAAGATTTACTTAATAAAACAAGAAGAAAAACCTGTAACTTGGTCTGAGAAGAATAAACTCTCTATTAATTGGTACTGAAACAGTCAAGTAGAATTTAAATTTTGTTTTGATAAAAAAATATTAACAACTTTAAAGTTACATCTTACTCATTTTTAGATGCATAAAATTATGTTTAATTGACACTTGAGCCAATGGAAAGATTCCATTAATGCGTAAGTAACATTCGAAAGCCTCTTTTTTTAATTACCATTCCTCATACGCACAAGCTGGTAGTTAACCAAAACCTATAAGACTTATAGTACATGTTTTGATTAAAGATATAACAAAGTAAACAAGGTTGCCATTTTTCACTTTGATAAGTCCAATGGATATAATACCAGTTATAGGGAAAAAACTGTGCTAGCAATATTTGTATGACTCTCCTGTTAAAAGACAGCTGTTTCCTGGAAACAAGATAAGTGCTATATATGTCCTTTTAGACTATATACAATACTTGATCGAGAGTTGTCAGGCAAGACTTAATGGATTATTTTACCCTTGATTTTAAAACATTGTGATAAATCATTGCTCCACATAATGTGTTTTAATGTATTTACATAACTAGTTTAAATATATTCTTAACAAGCTGAGGTACCCGTCCTTTGTCCGAGTTATGAACTTAAATTTAAAAATATGTTAGGGTAGGTGCTATGATAAATAACACAAAAATCCTAAATTTTACACTATTTATTTATAACATATTATTACAATATTCATTATTACCTTACCACAAGTTTTGCATAAGATTTAAGAACTCAATATGTATATACTTAAAACATGGTTGTGTGATGGTCAGGGTGCCTCTGTATTAAAAGGTAACAGCCGAAGTTGTGGCGGTAGGGGTGCTCTCTGTTACTTGCTTTTAACACCCACAGTGTGTCATGTGATTAATTAGTTGACTGCCATTGGTCGCAGAAGTGTCTTATGGGTCAAAGTTGAAAGATCACGAGTCAGAGTAGGAAGTGGGTATAACTCAAGAAATTGTTCTTCATATCAGCCTTATAGTGGCTGTTGGAGTAGAAACTTCATACGAGTTTATGCAATATTCCAATAGTGGCGACTATTTTTCATTGCATTCCTCCATAGAGAGTGATAGCGAACTTTCTGAGATATGTAAGACATTTATGTAACCTTTCCCCCACACTTTGTGTATGTTGTTCTATTAAAAACATAGTATATTTTTCGTGGAAGGACATGGCGCCATCTATGAATGTAGTTAACGTTTAAATACGCCAAATATAATAACTACTTAATAACAGCAATAATGGAGGGTACTAGTCCCCCTTTAACATGGCCCTTGTTCCAAACCATCATCCCACGAAGTTTGGTTGGGGTTGCCCCAGTGACCTAGGAATAATTGATAACTGACAGACAAGCAGACAGACACAAATTTTTGTGCTTTTTGTTTATGTATATACATGTAGATTTACCAATTTATATATTTTCCGAAGTTTCTCAATTTTAAGATAATCATCACGATTATCAGCTTCCTCTAGCAAATATTTAAATTGCAACGTTGAAAATATAGCTTCCAAAAGTATAATATTTAATTTTATTTCCTGTACCATTCTTTTTCCACACAGGTTCGATGTGGTACTTAGTAAAATAATGCCATCTCCTGAGAAAAAATAGCAATATTTCTATGAACAGTTGTATAAGAAAAATATTATACTCAAGCAATCAAGCACTTTTTGCAGCAGGAAATTAAACTGTAAAGGTAGGTAAAGACTGTTTAGACATTAGCTGTTATTTTGCTCGAATGCAGTTGAAAACATAAATTTACCTAAGCACAGAAGCGATTCGCTAGATAACTCATCACACTACTTTACCTCTCAAGACGACAAAGCCCTTTTATCTAATTTCCACAGTGAGCGATCTGAGATAAACGTGTAATTGATTTCCGAGAAAAACATCTATGTTTAGTGATGATATGGTACCAGTTACTACCACCTTTTATCATAACAATTGGAATCAGTTAGCATTGTGGTAAATAATGAGTGAAATTCTGCTGGTACTCACCGGTACTGAGTACCGGAACTATTTTTAAGGCGGTACTAGTACTGGGACTTATTGCAGCTGCTTTGTCGTTTTTTATGTTTACACGTAGGGTTTTTCTTCTTTTTTCAAAAACAGGTCTACTTCACCAAACTGAGTATCACTACTTTTTTGTTGAGAATTTCATCTTTGTTGTAAATGATGAGCAAATTCTGGTGTTTTTTTCTATTTTTTTTTTCACTTTTATCAATTGGACGAAGTAGACTAAAATGACTAATTACCTTCTAAGTTTAAAAGAGAGAGATAGTAATAAATACCATGGTTTGTTATCTATTTTAACAACAGCGTCATGATATCAATTGGGTTAAATTTATTTTTAGTGCATTTGTAATTCAACTCAAGCAAATACAGTATGGAAACATTTCTTTGTTGCCTTTTTTATTCTGCTTTATGTACACACATGGGTTATTGTTTCTCTCTGTAAACATGTTGTTGCAGTGCAATGTAGTCTTGATTTACTTACAACTTGTTGAACTATTGTCGTTACTGAACGTCTAGCTAGTATGGGTTTTGTCTGTGACGAAATTAACACTTTTTTTGTACCATTAACCTTGTTCAAAATTATCATTATCGAACTGTACAAATTTAAGACAGCCTACCCAGTAAGTGCTAGCCCCTTCCAGCAAACCATAACCTATCAAGTAGTCAAGATCTAAATGGTGACAACAATGACGCTCTTAACAGCCTCACCAAATTTCGTGCTTTTTTTCTCCGATTTTTACTAACTTACATACACCTTTTTGGAGGGCACTAGACCGGTAAAAAGGTTTGGCGCCTGACCAGTGAAATTGGGTTTTCCTCGAAGTAGGCCCGGCATGGCCAGGTGGTTAAGGCACTCGACTCGCAATCTGAGGGTCGCGGGTTCGAATCCCCGTCATACCATACATGCTCGCCCTTTCAGCTGTGGGGGCGTTATAATGTGACGGTCAATCCCACTATTCGTTGGTAAAAGAGTAGCCCAAGAGTTGGCGGTGGGTGGTGATGACTAACTGCCTTCCCTCTAGTCTTACACTGCTAAATTAGGGATGGCTAGCGCAGATAGCCCTCGTGTAGCTTTGCTCGAAATTCAAAAACAATTTCCTCGAAGTATTTTTATGTTTTCCAACAAGAGATTTTTTGATATTGGATCTCTTGAGCCCCTTCAGTTTGGGCTTTTCTGGCTTTATCTGCGGTAATTGTAACATTTTTTTTTTTCTACGTA